AGAGACACACAGGGTTTACTCCTGGTATCATTATGTGAGGAGACGTGGGGAGGAAATTCATTCAACTTTTATTTATACAGGTTAGTCTCATTGAGCCTCGAGGACTCTTTTACAGGACAGACCTGATTTAAACAAAGAATAATGACAACAGTAAACAACAATGACAGCAAAAATGACCTCAGGTCACCTCTGGTAATAAGTTGGAGGACCCTGATGGCACGGTGCTCCTTCAGTGCATGTCTCAACCCTCAAGAAACAGTCCCCCGTTAGTCTTACACCAAGACAAACGTCTTACAGACAGCATGTGTCATCCTGAGGTCCTCCTGGGGTCAATGTACAATCGATAAACCAGCACGTTGTCGCCACCTAGCTCGAGTGTCAAACTGTCAACGTGAGTCAACTGCTGCAGTGCTATGTGCAAGTCAACGACACCACGATAAACACTTGAATGAAATCTGTTGTGGTGAGAACCAGATTATTAATGATTCTGTCAAACAAATGTCGTCCACCCAGGAAAGAAAAAAAAGTGTGATTCCTTTGGCACTGACTGAGGAGTCAGAACTGGCATCAAAAGCCCTGAAGACCCTCCACCTCTCTCTTTTCACCACACTGGCAAGGGCCCCCCAGCTATTCTGGATTTTAATGTTGCAATGTAAATCTCCAACATGGGGGGTGTACACTTCCCTCTTCCTACACGGCTCTGGCTTCTCTTTCTTCTTGTGCCAAACCCATCGTGAGTGGGAGCGAGGGGAGACTGAAGAGCTTTTTGCATCACCTCCCTCCTAGTGAGAGTGGGCGACGTCAGCCCCTCTCCTTGGTAACAGAGAGGAGAGAAAAGGGATGGGGAGACACACTGTGAGACACAGACAAGAGGTGTGGGTCTTTTTATCTTTTTTTTCTGCCTTTTTTTTGGCATTTGGTCGTTCATCAGGTGGGAAAAGCAGAATAAGTTGCAGTCCAGTTGGCTGGAACAACCACATACCAACCACTCTGCTCCATGACAGCCACGACGTTTGATGACTTGTTGACGTCTCCACTACCAAACTGACAGCGAGCTCCCCACCCCGTTCCCTCTCTCGTCATCCCTCCCCACAACACTGTGACAGACTCAGTCATCTAACTCTGTCACAAACGAGAAAGGATGAGCTTCAGCGTCGTCAGACTGCAGCCTGTTAATGAGCAGCGGGGCTGGTTTGAAGTCTGCCGAGCAGAGAAGCACCTTCAGCCAAACGACGTCTGTCACGGCTGCAGAATGTGACGGGCATTTAATAAGGCCGCAAAGAATGGTTCTGCTGGCGAGAACACTAATTACTGACAGCTTCAAAGGCGTCTTGTTCTTTTGGAGGAAGAGAGTTTTGATGAAGCTGCGAGTGACTGGAGGTGCAGATGAATATGAGCCAAGACAGACAGGCGTCCATCAGTTTGACATCAGCAAATTAAAACGTTTTCAACTTATAATTATTGCCCCCTTTATCGAGATTTCACGTTTTACTGTATGTGGGAAGCAACTGTCCAGAGGAGAAATTAGTTTCAAACTCACAATCTTTAGGTAAATTTAAAAAAGTAAGAAAACTCAGAAATCTGTGGGGACTTGATCCGACTGTCACTATTTCTTGTTCATTGCGTTACTGAGGTTTTCAAACTCGTGTTGGAGCAGTACGGCCTTTTCCTGGGTCATGCAACAGCTGACCAGATCTTCACCTTTGCAAAGATGCTAAAGGGTCATGGGACCTTCATTGTTGGGTTCATGTGTTTTGTGGATCTGGAGAAGATTTGCCTGTTTCCTAAGGTGGTCCCTGAGGGGTGTTGTGGACTTTTTCACGGGCCATCCAGTCCACGTGTAACCAAACCGAGAGCTGTGTCTGAATCCTCGGCACAAAGTCAAGCTCGTCCCCGGTGCACGTCTGTCCCTTGTCTTCAGGCTTGTTGGTGGTGCTCATGGACAGGACCTCAAGGTGCAGTCGTAGAAAGCAAGGTGCCTGGTCTCGGTACCTCAGGGTCTCGTCTCTGCTTTTCATCTGATGAAGTTCTGTTGGTGCCTTCAAGCGTTGACCTTTAGTGTGCACTGGGGCCGTTTGCAACAGAACGTGACGCTGCAGAGTTAAAAATCTGCTCCTCTACGTTTGAGGCCATGGTTTACAAACTGAAAAAGCTGCAACGGGGGTGAGTCTCTGACTGAAGCAGTGCATGACTCAAGTATCTGGAGTCTTCTTCACAAGTGATGGAGAATGGAGCAAGAGCTTTACCAAGGATTGGGGCGTTGCTTCAGTTTTTTGTGGTGAAGCCAAAACAAAGGTCTTGATTTCATTGTCTTGTTCTTTTGTGTCCCAACCTTCACCTTTCGCCGTGAGATCTGGATCATAACTGAAAGAATCTGAGCTCCGAGTAGTCGCTGCTTCTCTTCAGCTGAGGTGGTCTGATTTAAGATGTCTCCTGGGTGCCGCCCCCACTCTTGACGTTTTCCAGGCATGTTTCATGGAGAAGAAATCTCAGGGTGGACCCAGAACACACTGGAGGGCACGGGGAGCCCTTGAAACCCACCAGGAGGACCTGGAAAGTATTGCTGTGGATGGAGATGTCTGGGATTCCCTTCTGAACCTTTTACTTCCTCGAACCGACCGTGAATAATGAGAAGAAAATGGATGGACGAACAGAGGGTCCCAAACTTTAAAATAATGGTGGCAGAACCTGGTCCAGGCTTTGCTTTACCAACTGTACCGATGCCCCTACAACCAACTTACTATTTTTTATTCATCTATTTCTTTTTCATAACAGCTTCAGTTAAAATATGTGATAAGAAATTATTCTGAAATCAAACTAGTTTCCTTGGGTTCATCTCCAGAACCCAACAAATCAAAGTTCCACCCGTTTTATACCCCAGTTGTTTCTGCTGCGTGTTTCCACTGATTCACGCTAACGAGGAGCCTGTTTTTTAAAGTGGGTTAGGTACGCCGTGAATTTAATTTTCTCTTCTGGTTTTGAGCGGCAGCCTTGCTCAGAAATGGTCGGCTAAAACCCGTCCAACAAACGCTCTGCAGGAGGAAATCTAAACGCTGGAGACTGAACAATCAATCCCGCATGGATTTATATGAAAATCCAGTCTAACAAAAGCCTGGTAATATCTGCTGGCAGAGCTCACCCTGAGCCGTATGGAATCTATTTATGAGCGCTCAGAGAAAAACAGGCCGTATTTGTGTCTTCGTGCTGCGTCTGCAGACAATCTTCGGTGGTTGAGTCGTGTCTGTTGCGGTGCCAGATACCCTCAGCCCTTGTTTTCCTCTGCACAAGTAAAATCTTAAACAAGAGCTCCTGTCAGATGCTGAAAGAGGTCGGTACGCTGGTGTAGATTCTCAATCATCCAGGGCATGGCAAATCCAGATAAAAAAAAAAATAATTAAAAAACAAGACTATTCTGAAACCGAACATGTTTTGAACTGAGAAACGAGAAGCAGGACGTAGTTGGTGTTAACCAAGACAATGTCCCTGATGGAAAAAGACGTGGACTCTGGAAACTCACAGGGGGGATGTTTTGCTGAGTTCGATGAGAACCTCCTCTGGGAAGATGGCACAGCGTGTAGTGTTTGTAGAAAAGTACATTTAGAAAGCAGACCGTTGTTTTTAAACTCAGAGCACGACTGGAGAGACTCTGTTGGCCAACATGAAGTCACAGCTCTGGTGACCAGCGATCAGGCTTTCTGAGCCACTACGATGCGTTTTGCACATTAAAGCAGAGGATAAATGTAAATGTTCGTAGTGTTTGAGATGAGTGTTTTTCTGGAATAGAACTGAACAGGGAATGCAAACTGTGTTTTACGTGGATAAGAGTTACACCGTGCAGAAGAACCGAGGTAGGTGGTTTTTTAGCTCGTTCGAAGCGGAGCAGAGAGACGGATCCTGACGAGAGGAGGGAACAGTTTTATCCACCACCAGGTGCAATGGTGGAGCTAGGGGGTGACCAGTGGTGGCCTTGGAAATCATAAATTAATCTGTGGCCACCCCACCAGCTACTCCAATCATCTGAGGAAACTAAACTTTGAAGCAATATAAAAACTAGAAATCAAAGTCTCCTCAAACGATCGTGATGGCCGGTGTATATAAATATATGGTGGTGGCCATCTTGGATTTTGACGAGGCAACCCAATATTCTAAAGGAATCTTTTTAAAGCCTGGATGCAGCCACACACTAATAAGGAAGGCGGTACCTCACTTATTTTTAATTTTATCGTGCTCTTGATTTGGATGGAGGGTATTTCCAATTCCTCGCGACGAGGGACAAAAATCTCAAAAACCACCGATTGGATTTTAATGAATCATTTAAATAAACCTTGAATTTATGTCTTCAACCAATTAACTTTGGAACCAACCTAATTTAAGATGGCCGACAACTAACTGACCCCCATCCAATGCAAAAATGGCTACGAGTCAGTAAGTTTTACAGATACTGAGCTAAAATTGAGTGTGGTAGTCGCTGAGTGTCATCGCCAACATAGATGTGAGAATCTCATGAAACTTTCTACGTTTGATCAAAACAGCAACAACTCTGTCACTTCTCAGTAAAAGATGATCTCAGTCTAAAACCCAGCGGGTGATGTGCATTCCTTCAAGGAACGCTTGGTCTTTAATATACTTTTAATTTAACTTTTTAATTATTGTTCCCTGGAGCTGTGAGGACGTATGATGATTTTCAGAACACAAAGTAACTTAAAAAGCTTATCACACAAATAATATTAGTTTCAGTGTAGTTATGACTTTACATGTTCTCCCCCAATGCTTGAAATTTAAATTTAAGTTGTTGCAATCATATTCCTGAGTATTTATACAATAAACTGAAAATATAATAAACAGTGACAAAGTAAAAAATTGCATTTCATGCCAGTTAAAGAGGCTACAAACTACACTGCAAAACTCTGAAAACAGCATCGTGCTGTAAAGTGTCTCATACGAGCTAAAATTAAATATTTTTATAATTTAATCGACGCGGGGGAAGAAGCAGTACTTACTCGTCGTCTGGCGTTAGCTGCACCGGTTCGTTAGTAAACTGCGTGTCGAAGTTTTCCAAGCCGTACTCGTCTGAGATCTGAGGTTTGAATGGCGGCGTCATCTCCTTCTTCTCCAGCTGAAGAAAAACAAATTAAAACGCGTCATCGTCGAGTCCAAGAGCATTTAGGATTCCAACGGAACGAGAACAGAGGGGAGAACAAACGGGACGTGTCAGAGCTGTGGTAACGGTCTGGTTGTGTGAGTGGTGCAGTTTTATGAAGTTTCAGTTCAGGTTTGTGCTCATCGTCCGGCTGCAGCGTCACGACGAGGAGAGAGAACAGAGAAGAGAGAACTTAGAACAGAGAACTGAGATCCGAGAACAGAGAAGAGATAACTGATAAAAGAGAACTGAGAACAGTGAACTGAGAAAAGAGAAGAGAGAACTGAGAAAAAAGAACAGAGAAGAGAGAACTGAGAACAGAGAACTGAGATCCGAGAACAGAGAAGAGAGAACTGAGAAAAGAGAACTGAGAAAAGAGAAGAGAGAACTGAGAAAAAAGAACAGAGAAGA